ACCTCCTAACACAGCCACCGGCTCTGGGTCATCGGATGAGCTCAGTGCCTGTGTGAACGTTTGCCCCACTCTCCAGTGACTTACGAGAGGGCCATTTCCTGGAAATAGTATGGTCAGACATTTCATTGTAGTCAAGTGTTTGGGGTGTCTGAGTCACTCCTGTTGCCTGGTGACCTGTTGTGTTTGGCAGGAGGACGGCAATTCGGGCACAGGTACCGTCAGACACAGAGCAGATGTTTGTTCAGCATGACCCGCTCCCAACACCAGACTGATTTAACGCTTAACCTTGACGCTGTCCTTTCCCACTTTCTACTGTTAGGAGGCATCATTCCCTTCAAGCCAGGAGCGCCCAAAAGCACTGTGCTGCGCACGCAATCAACAGATCCTTCGTAGTGAAATACAGGCTGCGTTATTTTGCCTATTGAGTTCTGAAGAGAAACTCTCAAGACAAAGAAAATTACAGAATTCCTGCATATAGATGGGAATTGGAATTATACGGTGTCCTGGAAGTTACTCAGCATCCCTGTAAGAATTAGTTCTCTCCTGAGTTCACAGTTAATGTAACGACTTCCAAATAGCACTGAGTCACTGATTCTGACTTCGCAGCCAGGGGGGAGTTTTTTTCAGACAATCAGAGTTGACACATTTGGTGGCCTATACAAATACCTGTCATTATTTTTTCATAACAAGAATTGATTACCACAATATGTTAATAATGGCTTCAAAACTGAGGGGTTCACTCTGCAATACCACAATGAGTATAAATAGATAGCACGGCTGGCCTGAGCTCACCTTACTGACCTCTGTCTTCAAATGTAAGTTAGCATGTGTGCCTAGGTTACCCTAGAGCCAACAATCTAGAATAAAACACTCTAGGCTTGTGTTCCATATAAATTCTCCAACAGTTACTGCTCTACTATTTTCTTAGTCATTTCTATGCATTAAATATTTAAAGGAGAAACGTGGTTTACAAAAAGCCACACATACACACAAGTATCAGATATTGTTTGTTTGGTTTTTTTGTCCTTCTTTTCAGGGGATATGCCTGCCATAGACACAAGAATGTACCCTAACATTGGGGTGCCAGGATGCCTGATATTCATAAGTACTTTCAAAAGTCAAATGGATATTATGAATTTTACTTTGTTTTTTTGTTTGGTTGGTTTTTTTTGAGACAGTCTCACTCCACTGCCCAGGCTAGAGTGCCGTGGCGTCAGCCTAGCTCACAGGCAACCTCAAACTCTTGGGCTCAAGCGATCCTCCTGTCTCAGCCTCCGGAGTAGCTAGGACTACAGGCATGCGCCACCACGCCCAGCTGATTTTTTAAACACACACACATATATATATATATATATATATTTTTTTTTTAGTTGTCCAGCTAATTTCTTTCTTTTTCTTTTTCTTTTTTTTTTTTAGTAGAGACAGGGTCTCGCTCTTGCTCAGGCTGGTCTTGAACTCCTGAGCTCAAATGATCCACCTGCCTCGGCCTCCCAGAGTGCTAGGATTACAGGCGTGAGCCAACCATGCCTGGCCATTGTACAAAACAATTGTTTTTATTGTACAAAAAACAATTGTACTTTGTTTTTGACAGCTATAAAGTGGGTATATAAGTTTGCCTAGCAAAGATTTTCAACTTAAACCTATGTTAAAACTTTGTATCTTCCCAAATACTTTTCTTTTTGAAAGGCATATTTTAGGGGAAAAAAAATCTTTCCATGTCTAAAAAACCCTTGAATTCTACCAAATGCCATAGGAGATTTAAGAAAAGGGTACTGTCATTACCTAGAACTGGATAATTGTAGGTTGCAATTATTAGTGGAAAGAAATAAGGGGGTGAATTACTTTCTAAAATATTTTAAATGTTTTAGAGTCCTTTAAAGTCTCAAGCAGGTTTCCCAACTTGGGGTTTATAGTGGAGAAGTGAACCTCTCAATGCCCTGTACAATTTTTGGTTCATGCACATAACTAGGAATCGAAACCTTAGTTCTTCGGGCTCTCGAGATGGGGTTTAGTCTTGGGAAATCAAACTGCCAGCAGATAGCTGAGGATTTAAGCTCCTGAATTTGTTGCTGACTATCTGCTTACTACAAATTTCAGTAACATAAGAGTTGAATATTCATTCCCTTCCTATAACTGAAGATTTCTAATAATTAAATGAAAGTAGAGCCCATCTCTGACCGTGAGCACAGTTTATTGCATCTGTATACCCCGAGAGCAAAATTACCACTAATTGTCTCATTTTTGAAAACTTATTTAACCATCATTAGATATTTAAATATGTTATGGCCAAGAGAATGAGACAGACCTAGCCTCTAGTTGGAAGGAGTTTGTAGTCTAGTTGGGGAGACAAATGTTTATCACACAGAGAGATGAATGTTTGCATAATTAGAAGTTCAGGACTCTATAGGACCATGTTGCCAATGCCCACAAGCCAGTCTGCCATTTAACTGACCAGGATTGGGAAAATACCCAGGCCCTGGTAACAGGTACTCTCAAGTTTCAAGTAGAAGTATTCAATAGGAAATTCTCCCCTCTGGGAAACAATTTAATGATATCTATCAAAATTACACATATACTTTATGACCTGCAATTCTACTTTCCCAGTTTATACAGGTATCATTGCACACCTGCACAATAACCTAATACAGTAATTTGGTGCAGCATTAAGAACAAATGATCTTCCACAACTCAAATGTTCACCAATAGATCACTATTTAAACTGTGGCATGTCCATACATGGAGCGCTCTGTCTGTAACTGATTTGGGGCATATACATACACAATGAGTGCGATGTGCACCACCTGGGGGATGGACACGCTTGAAGCTCTGACTCGAGGGGGGAGAGGAGGCAAGGCCAATATATGTAGCCTTAACAACATTTGTACCCCCATAATATAATGAAATAAACATTTTTTTAATGGGGAAGGTCTCTCAGTACTGATTTATTACCCACCCCACACACTGAAACAAGAAGAACATACACTGCAGAGATGCAGAGCACGCTGTCTTTTCTATTATGAAAAAGGAATGAATTCATATTCCTAATTTGTTTATTTACACATTAAGAAATTCTGGAAGGTTGCATTAGGTACTGATAGAGGCTGTGTGGGGATGGTAGAGGAAGAATTTAGGCAGAATCTGTGAATATGAAAAAATGTATTAATAGAAAAATGGAATACTTGAAAAGCAATCCTTTCTGAGCCCAAGTTACATCAACCAGGCACCTCTGCAGTTTCAACAAGTTTCTAGAATGCTGCAGTGATGACATCAGAGCCTAAGATCGCTCTATGTTCCAAACTGGGTTCCCACTCCCTTCCTTCCTGCTTGTGTTCAGCTGCGGTCTCGAGGGGGTTCCCCAGAGGACCTGAGACTTGGTCAGGTTCCCGGGGTCTTCCTTCTCCCTCTGCTGAGGGTATTTGGGGGCTTTCTTAAAGCTGTGAAAGCAAGGATTTTGTTCTGTTCACTGCCTCATTCGCTGTGCCGAAAAGAGCACCCGGCACACAGAAAGTGTTCAGCAAATGTTTGTCGAATAAATGAATTCTTTTCTTCATCCAGCTTCAGTGGGACAGACACTACCAGACAAAGGGAGAGCCATCAGTGGTGTCAAATATTTAGAAAGAGCTGTCATAACTGGTACCGGCCCAATAGAGGTATTCTAGTTTTAGCAACATTCCTAGAATTATTTAGAATTTTGCAGAAAACAAATAATCCTATAGAATGCTGTGCTGAACAATGAATTGTAACTCGTAAAAAATTATTTTTAATTAATTTGGTATTACATGGCCCTGGGGTCCATCTTAGGGCTGAAACCTTTTTAGGCAAACACCGCACTAAGCACTAATGATGAAAAAGAATGGCTCTCTTGGCCGGGCGCGGTGGCTCATGCCTGTAATCCTAGCACTCTGGGAGACCAGGGTGGGAGGATTGCTTGAGCTCAGGAGTTTGAGACCAGCCTGAACAAGAGTGAGACCCCATCTCTATTAAAAAATAGGAAAAATTAGCCAGGCATGGTGGCACTTGCCTGTAGTCCCAACTAGTCAGGAAACTGAGGCAGGAGACTCTCTTGAGCCCAGGAGTTTGAGATTACAGTGAGCTATGATGATGCCACTGCACTTTACCCAGGGTGACAGAGCAAAACCCTGTCTCAAAAAGAATTGGCTATTTTAAGAGTCAAAATGCATCCTAGTTGTAAGGTACCCAAAGGGATAGTGTGAAAAGAGAAAATCATTTGTACTAAAAATGCAACTGCCATTTTTATTTTCAAGAATAAAATTATCCTTGAAATTACATTCAAAGTAGCCTCTGCAGTGAACTGAGTAGCACAATGTGAATCACAATAGGCAAAACAACTTCCTCAGCGGCATAGAATGGGCGTAACAACCACAGCTCTTTACACTCCAATAACTATGAAAACAGAATAACTTTGCTAGTAATAATTTCAGTAATGTTGCTGAATAGGTACATGGCTGATATATTTTTTTTGAAGATTTTTAGTGCATGAACTTTTTTTAAGGTTGAGACAGTTCACTGATGTTCTCTTTTGGCAATAATGGAAAGAGGTTAGGAAATTTTGATGTTACCTTTATTTCTCTTGCTGTCATTTAAAACAGCAATATGGCCAGGTGTGGTGGCTCACCCCTGTAATCTCAGCATTTTGGGAGCCCAAGGTGGGAGGATCACTTGAGCCCAAGAGTTGGAGGCTCCAGTGAGCTCTGACTGTGCCACTGTACTCAAGCTTGGGTGACAGAGCAAGACCTTGTCTCATTCAATCATTAATAAATAAATAAATATAGCAATATGAGTGAGGAAACATCTATTCATCTTGAAATCCAAAATCTCTCCTGAGGATAACAACAACAATGCTCCGAGGTAAGGCATTTATGAAATATCTTAACTGGAGAAGCAAAGACAGCAGAGAAGCTGCAGAACTACTGGCAGACAGCCACCTGCAGCTGATGCAGATCACTCTGATGCTATAGCATCAGGAGCACCAAACCTACTGTCTCCAGACGGCAGCTCAGCAAATCCCACTCAGTCCTTGCAGCAGTCAACGCGGTCTCAGGGCAGATCCTTTCTGAGAAGAGTGGGTATAGGGGCCAGAGGATGATAGCTCTGGGAAAAGAAAAAATTCATGAGGTTAAATAAGAATGATGCTTTGTTTTATTGGTTTTCTGGGGGTGAGGTAAAACGAAGAGCTCTGTGAGACTATGCTTCTGGAAGAATCACCAGAAAAACACTGGCTCTAATAGGTCCTGAGGTTTCAGGAGGAGAAGAGCCACTGGGGCGTTCATGCCACTAATATTTAACCCCTGCCAGCCCTGTCGGGCAACGGGGCAGTGCAGACAGGCAGGTTCCAGGAAGCTCGCCGTCTGCCGCTGGGCCTGTCAACAGGACCACCATGATGAATGCACTCAGAGCCAGGCTGCGGCTGGTTTAGCGTGAGCGTCGGGAAGCCCTAGTGCAGAGAGGCGTTAGGTTAAGACTCACCTATGGGGAGGGGGGGACATCTGCAAGTCAAGAGCACACCTGGCAGAGGGAGCAGCTGACACAAAGCCCCTGAGGCAGGAATAAGCCAGGAAGTTTAAAGGATGGAACCGCATGAGCGGCGAGAGTGCTTGATCTAGGAGTGGAGAAGCCGAGGGCAGAGGCCAGTGGCAGACACCGTCATAGGCCAGAAGAGGGACGGCGTGCGTACAGGGACTAAATGTCCCGGGACTCAGGCAGCGTGCAGCGCACAACCTGCCACCTTCAAACAAAGTGGCGGAAGATGCGCTTTGAAATCCATACAGCTGCTACGATCTTTCGGTGGATTGTTAAGTGGTTGAAATTTGCCTTGTAGGTGAACATAAAATACATGCCACCGGTCGGAGGTCCACAGTCCACAGAAGCACCATATGAACACCCTAAAAGCACAGCCTGGGATGACTAAACTATGCATGTCCGTATGTGATTTGGTAATTGATTTATGTGTCTTTTAACCACCTAATAAATTTTATTAAAATCTGTGTTTAACAACTGCAGGATATATCCCCATCTGCAACCAGAAACTGATTCTTTGTTGAGATCCCACTTTCATCAAAAATACTCAACTATGGCGGGCCACAGTGGCTCACACCTGTAATCCCAGCACTCTGGGAAGCCAAGGTGGGAGGGTCGCTCAAGGTCAGGAGTTTGAAAACAGCCTGAGCAAGAGCGAGACCCTGTCTCTACTAAAAATAGAAAGAAATTACATGGAAAGCTAAAAATATATAGAAAAAATTAGCGGGGCATGGTGGCACATGCCTGCAGTCCCAGCTACTTGGGAGGCTGAGGCAGGAGGATCGCTTGAGCCCAGGAGTTTGAGGTTGCTGTGAGCTAGGCTGATACCACAGCACTCTAGCCCAGACAACAAAGTAAGACTCTGTCTCAAAAAAAAAAAAAAAGAAAAAAATTCAACTCTTAAAAGAAATTCAAGAACAAATGTGTCCCACCTAGATAGGTGGGACATACGCAAGGAAAATGAAAACGCCAGTCTATGTAAATACTGTACACAAATGTTCATAACAGCATTGTGCATAATAGCCAAAAAGTGAAAATAACCCAGCAGTCCATCAACTATTAAATCGATAAACAAAAATGCGGCAAATCCATATAATAAATTATTTGGCAATAAAAAGGAATAAAGCAGCGATACATGCCACAACACGGATGGACTTTGACGACATTATTCTAAGTGAAGGAAGCCAGTCACAAAGCCCACATATTACATGTTCCGTTAGTATGAAATGTGCAGAACAGGCAAATCCACAAAGACAGGAAGATTAATGGTTGCCAAGGGCTGGGGGAATACAGAGTGAATATGAATGGGTAAGGGGTTTCCTTCTGGGGTGATGTAAATATCCTAAAATTAGATAGGGATGATGGTTGCACAACTCTATGAAAATACTAAAAACTAGGGGTCTGTACACTTTAAAAGAACAAATTTTATGGTATGTGAATGATATCTCAGTAAAGCTGTTATAAGAATAAAAGAACAAAAGTGAGTCTGAAATGCTGCAAAGAGATGAAATAAACTTCAACTGGCCAAAACTGTTGTTCCAGCATAATCCTTAATAATTCCAGTAAGACTCATAATAAGAAGCAAGCAGGCCGGGCGCGGTGGCTCACGCCTGTAATCCTAGCACTCTGGGAGGCCGAGGCAGGTGGACTGCTCGAGGTTGGGAGTTCGAAACCAGCCTGAGCAAGAGCGAGGCCCTGTCTCTACTATAAATAGAAAAAAATTAATTGGCCAACTAATATATACAGAAAAAATTAGCCGGGCATGGTGGCGCATGCCTGTAGTAGTCCCAGCTACTCGGGAGGCTGAGGCAGGAGGATTGCTTGAGCCTAGGAGATTGAGGTTGCTGTGAGCTAGGCTGACGCCACCGCATTCACTCTAGCCTGGGCAACAAACTGAGACTCTGTCTCTAAATAAATAAATAAGATAAAAAACAAACAAACAAACAAAAGGAACAAAAGTTAAACTACAGACCAAACGGACCCAACAGACATTTACAGAACATCCCATCTAACTGCTGCACAACACATGTTCTTTCCAACAGCACATGGAACATTCTCCAGGATAGGCCATATACATTAGGCCACAAAATAAATCTCAACCAAGTCAAAAAAGTGGAAATCATACTGAGTATCTTTTCTGACCACAATGGAATAAAACCAGAATTCAATAACAAGAGTAACCTCGGAAACTACACCAACATATGGAAATTAAACAACATGTTCCTGAACAACCGTTGGGTCAACAAGGAAATTAAAAAATTTCTTGGCTGGGCGCGGTGGCTCACGCCTGTAATCCTAGCTCTCTGGGAGGCCGAGGCGGGCGGATTGTTCGAGGTCAGGAGTTCGAAACCAGCCTGAGCAAGAGCGAGACCCTGTCTCTACTATAAATAGAAAGAAATTAATTGGCCAACTAATATATATAGAAAAATGAGCCGGGCATGGTGGCGCATGCCTGCAGTCCCAGCTACTCGGGAGGCTGAGGCAGGAGGATTGCTTGAGCCCAGGAGTTTGAGGTTGCTGTGAGCTAGGCTGACGCCACGGCACTCACTCTAGCCTGGGCAACAAAGGGAGACTCTGTCTCAAAAAAAAAAAAAAAAAAAAATTTCTTGAGGCTGGGTGCGGTGGCTCATGCCTGTAATCCTAGCACTCTGGGAGGCCGAGGCAGGCAAATTATTTGAGCTCAGGAATTCAAGACCAGCCTGAGCAAGAGCAAGACCCTGTCTCTACTAAAAAATAAAAAGGAACTAATTGGCCAACTAAAAATATATAGAAAAAAATTAGCTGGGCATGTTGGCGCATGCCTGTAGTCCCAGCTACTCGGGAGGCTGAGGCAGGAGGATCGCTTGAGCCCAGGAGTTTGAGGTTGCTGTGAGCCAGGCTGACGCCACACATTCTAGCCGGGGCAACAAGAATGAGACTCTGTCTCAAATAAATAAATAAACAAATACATTCTTGGAACAGATGAGTATGGAAACACAACACACCAGCATCTATGGACACAACAAAAGTGGCACGAAGAGGGGAGTTCACAACAGTAAATGGCTAAACACCAACATCAGAAAACAGACTCCACGTGACGTGATGACGCTCCTCTCCAGGAACCAGAAAAGAACAAACCAAACCCCAAACTAGTAGAAGGAAAGAAATAACAAAGATCAGAGTAGAAATAAATGAAAAAAATAAAATATAAGAATAGGACGAGGCAATACTGATAAAGAGCTTAGAAACAGCACGTGGCATAGAGCAAGCATTACATGCATTTGTCAAATGACTAACAAAAGTGATCTAATTAAGTCTTCTTGCAAAAAGAGCAAGACGCCAGCGCACTGTGAAATAAAGTCTCCATTGTCAGGAGATGGCCAAGACACGGCCGCACAGGGACACCGAGTGGCCTGGCGCGCTGGAAGCCTCTGTCCCCACAGCGTCTGCTTTGCAGTTTAATGGACTTGACGGTCATTATCTGGCAAAAGAGCAGCCATAATCTCAGGGCTTTAAACAACTGGGGGAAATATTCCTATTTGTCATTGTCACCTTAGGCTCTACCTCACAGTTAAACATGGAACTTCTCCAACTTACAAAAGCTATTGTGGTTAAGCCATGTTTTATTGTACCCTGGACAACAGGCACATTTTCTTGAAATAGTCTCGTTATGAGGGAGCAACTTGGCTAGAAAAGACCCGTGCCCTTTCGGTTGCTCCTGCCTCGGGCACGGAACCCACGCTGCACTCCAGCCTTCGCGGCTATTCCACGCCCCGCCGAGAAGCTGATGTCCCAGTGACCTCTCCGTCTTGTCCGCTCCACCTGGCAAAGTATGTTATTCGTAAGACTCATGATGGAAGGATTTTTTCTCCAGATGAAATGGTATTGCTCGTACAGTGATTAATCAGCTGTAGCAATGCATTTTCATTTTACGCTTGTGGGGTGTCGCTACACAAAGCAGAAACTGACCCATCCCGGCAGGGCACAGGCTCTGGGCGCAGCCGTCCGCAAGGAAGGGGGCGGGAGGCGCCTCTGCGATTAGCCTTTCTGGACCCTTCGGACAGACACCTTCGCCTGTTCCCCTTCCTCCTAACTTCTCTCCACCGTAGCAGTCTGCGAATCGTACTTGTCCATTATCTGCACAGACTTCCTCGTGTCTGTCCTGTCAGACTGTGAGCGCGGTGAGGGAGGGAGCACAGCGTTCCGCTGTCTTTTCGGGACAAAGCCTGGCACAGAGTGGACGGTGATAAACATTGGTTCACTGACTGACTGCCACTTTATAAAATACGCTGTGTTCCTAAAGAGTCGTATGTCAGCCCCTCACAAGTAAGATAAGGAGGTCACTGAGGTGATCCCCAGCAGGGGGGATTTTAATAGGATAAAACAGTGACGTGTGGAGTCTGAACTCTGAGGATTCCAGAAGCAGAGTCCATACCTATGGCAGATGTGAATGTGTGGGGTGAGGAGGAAAGGAGGAGGAATGACCCACTAATTCAAACGGGTGCTTTCAGAGTAAAATTTCATTGCAAGAACTCAAAAATAGTGTTTTCTAATTATAGACTCTTAAATTTAAAATAGCTTGAAAGGTCACTCTGTACTTCTCTCTGCCTAACGCAAACTGCATTCAAAACATCCAAGAAATAGGAGCCTGTTTTTTTTTTAAGCCCAAAGAAGATTGGACCAGTGATAAAAAACCCTTGTGTCTCGAAACCTCTGCTTTCTACAGTTTTTATGTTAGGTCTTGCACGGCCCAGATAATCAGCATCTAGTGCTTTCCTTCACGACACAAAGTTGTTATTGTTAGTCAAACTCCTGAACTCCTCAGAGTCAAAGTTGTACGAAATGACAAGAAGGTAACGTAGTATCATAACAGTGAAAATCAAATAATTTTTAATTTTAACAACTTCCTGAAATAAAATAACTCCTCATATTTTAACACTGAAAGTGAAAAAGTATTTTTAACCTCACTGTTGAGCAAAGAAACATGAATCAAAGAAGTGAGATAGCATTTTTCTTTTCATATATTAAATTGGCTTTTAACAAAACCAACATAAATTTATCAAGTTGCTCTCCAGGCCTATTGTAAATACATTTCTTATATTTTATAAACCTCCTAAGAATGTGAACAAAGATTTAGCTCTGAGCATATTAACCATGACATTGCTAATAACAGTGAAAAACTGAAAACAACCTATATGTCCAATATTAAGGGACTGCTTAAATAAACTGTAGTGGGTGGAATAATGGAATACTCTTTTATTATGTTTGGTGGGGAATGACAAGTGGTTCATGATATATTCATAGGCATAAAACAATATGTATATGACCTATTTATCCTGTTTTTTATTTTTTATTTATTTATTTTTTTGAGACAGAGTCTCACTCTGTTGCCCGAGCTATAGTGCTGTGGCATCAGCCTAGCTCATAGCAGTCTCAAAGTCCTGGACTCAAGTGATCCTTCTGCCTTAGCCTCCCGAGTAGCTGGGACTACAGGCATGCACCACCATGCCTGGCTAAGTTTTTTAATTTTTAGTAGAGATGGGGTCTTACTCTTGCTCAGTCTGGTCTCCAACTCCTAAATTCAAGTGATCCTCCCACCTGGGCCTCCCAGAGTGCTAG